TATGTCCAGCTTGGATGGAGATGCTCGTGCACAGAGGGAATTATGCTCGAACCTACGCATTCAATCTTCCCGAATCTTCGGACACTGTCTTTCGCAAAGCCGACTGGATGCTCAATCTCTATGGCAGCAAAGGACCGAACGACTGCTTGCCTCTCTCGACTCGTTTGTCGTCCGCAGAGCAGACACGGCGGCATTTGGGGCAACTTATTTCATCTAGCGTTGGAGACGCAAGCAACAAACGGAGACTGGAGACCGTCCGGACGGCGAAAACGCCGTACGATGATCAATTCTTGAAGCGCAAAAAACCATCCATACCCGAGAAGTCCAGAGTGCATGCCTCGTGCTTTGTTGCCCGAGCTCTCAGCGACCATCACTGGATAGAGGAGTGGGCAAACATTACAGAACGAGGCGTCAACTTTTACCACCCGGAACGGAAAAAGGCAAACCACCGTGTCGGCATCCAGAGCATCACCAAAGTCAACAAACTGGATTCGAACTTGTCTCCAAAGTTTCCCAACTACTCGTTCTTGTCGCTTGAAACATTGGGCAGAACAACGTACCTGATGTTTGCGTCGGAAACTGACCGAGACGACTGGGTGAGAGTCATTTCAAGGCTTGCCAAGCTAGCACCCAGCGCCGTGGACTCGATGGAGACGGAATCTGAGGGTCATGCTTCCACTGCTCTACTCGAGTTGCAAAACCCCAAAGACGAATTCCTCCACAAGAGCTCCCTGTGGGACTTTAAACACCGTCGCGTGCTCAACTGCAGACGATTCTCGTTTCGTGCACGAGAGAAGGCGTCTCGACAGGATCCCTTGTCGCTGGCCGAAGATGCCCTTCATAAAGCCCTGGATCCCAGAAACGAGTCCGATGATGACATTCTGGTTTCCTTCTTGGACAGCGCAGCAAAGTTGAAAGAAGCCAATGTCCACGGGCTTGGGGAAGAGGAGCGCCTTGCGTTCTTCTTGAATGTCTATCACACAATGGTGATGCATGCGTACCTGGTGCTGGGTACACCGGCATCCAGTTTTCAATGGATTTCATACTTCAACAGCATTTCCTACCAATGCTCGGATGATATCTTCTCCCTCGCCGAATTAGAGCACTGTATCTTGCGGTCGCCCATGTCCTACCCCACCCAGTTCCTATCGAGGTTTGCTATTCCCAAGTCTTCCTACTCATTTGCACTCACCAGGAGTGACTATCGGATCAACTTTGGCCTCAATTGCGGATCCATGAGCAACCCGAAATGTGTTCCAGTTTTCAAGGTGTCATCCCTCAATCAACAGTTGAATGATGTGTCACGTCTCTATCTTGCCGCTGCTGTGAAGGTCAAGAAGCGAAGCAATCGAGATGTTGAAGTGTTGTTGCCGCGAATATGCTTGTGGTTTGCAGATGATTTTGGATCCAGCAACACTGACGTCTTGAGGAGGGTAACTCCGTTCTTGACCACGGACGTGCAGGACTTTCTCAAGTCGATTGAATCAGGCAAAAGGGGGAAGTGTCACGTCTCTGTCAAGTATCTCAATTACAGTTTTGAATGCCGAAAGTTGACGTTGACGCCTGAAACTGGCAACAGATCGTGAAATTTTGAAGGCACAATGCTATCGAAGGGTAAAAGCGGTGTACATTTACATGTAGTCTCCCGATGATATCAAATCGCGAGTTGTTTTTATACTAGCCCAATATAGACACAGTTTAGTACACAGCAAGAAAACTGCACTTCCGTTCCTTCAGGTCGTTGCCTCTTGAGACGGTTTGCTGTCAAGTGCTTTTTCTATGGATGCGAGAGAATTCCATCATGAGTTGCAACTGAGGCAGCTTTGCCAAGGAGCAGAAGCAGCTTCACAGGGAGCCCACAGGCCATAGAGAAGAGGGCTTCTTCGAAGTCAACAGCGGTGTTCATTTCACGGAACTCAGGAGCCTCAACAGGCATGTAAGAGGCAAAATCGTCATCATCAAGCCAAACAGGAACAAGATCTACTAGGAAGTCATCAGGAAGGATACTTAGCGGAGTCAGAGTAATAGTAAAAATGTCATCGGAGGTTCGTTTCAGTGTTGGTGGTGGGGGCATGACTGATTGCATCTGAAGAGAGGGCAGCAACCAGACGACAGGGCACCGCTGGGAGTAAGTCAGGTGAAGAGAATTCGGCCATAACGGGCAGCAAGAACAGGAACTCTTGATATGTGGCAGGGAGGGATGGTATGGTAGATTCCAATTTGTATTCTCTAAGACGCCCCATGCTGATACCCATACCTACAAATGTATTGATTTGTTCATAGAGCAGCTTTTATAGCAAGAAGAGCTGTACGATCATGACTCATTGCAACACCTGGTCCCAACCCTTTGTGCCAATCTGTTTGGGAATCTTCAATGCTGTACTGGAAGCTTTGCAATTCTTTGTGCAGGGTGGGGGGAAATTAAAGCCCTGGAAGAACGTGCTGTTGTCAGAAGAGCTTGTGAGACCCTGAAGCCCATGCCATCAGACCAGGGCCCTTTGCTGAAGCTTGAGCTAGTTAGGGGAGAAAACAGGGCATGCCCTGTTGGAAGGGGTCAGCTGGAATGAAGTTGAAACCCATGAGAGCACACAAGGTTGGCATAATGATGGTGTACATGGCAGTGTCGTTGGAAGCCCCTGGAGTTTCCTGTAAGGTGGCTGTTGGGGGAAATCTTCAATGCTGTACTGGAAACTTTGCAATTCTTTGCACAGGGTGAAAAGTTGAAACCCTGGAAGAAAGTAATGTTGTCAGCAGTGCTGGTGAGACACTGAAGCCCATTGGGAAACATGTTGCCGTAGAAACCAACAAGGCCAATGGAAGACTTTAACTGCTTCAATGTCTTGGGCGGCTTCATAGCCTGGACGGCTTCAATTTTCTTCATCCAGGGTTTGAGACCATGGGGTGTCATCCAGTGTCCAAGGAAGCCAACTTCTTTGATCCCAAATTCAGTTTTCTTGATGTTGAGTCGAAATCCTTTGGCAGTAATGGGACCAAGAACGATCTTCAACTGCTGAAGATGTGTAGACCAAGGGCCTTTGCTCCACGTGATAAAATCATCAACGAAAGTGAGTGTGGTTGGTACGCGATGGCACATGTTATCTACAACTTCCTGAATGATCTCAGGCATGGTGGTAACACCCATGGGACATTGGAGATATTGATAGAGACCAAAAAGGGTCGCAAAGGGAGGTGGTGAGGTCTCTGCCATTGTCACCCAGTTGGAAAGTGTAGGGTATCCAAGAAAATGAGGAATGATAGAATAGGGGTCGTCAATGTTGGTCTTTGGATCCACTTTTTAGCACTTTCCCCCCTTTCTGGGGGAACCAGAAGAGGGGAAGAAAGAGGATCTGGGGAGGAACCGGAGAGGTGTGGGAGGAACCGGAGAGGTGCGCAGCAGGTGCCAAATGACCTTCCAAGTAAACATGTTAGGACGTACTTCCGTCCGATACGTCACAAGGTATGGAGTGACTTCTTTTTCTTACATAATGTTAATTCTTTGGTTGATCAGTTTGTTCTTCGTGACTCATAGTGACTGATCCAGTCTCATTCCTTTAAATAATTGCTTCTTCTGTGAGGCTTCGAAAGCGGCAAAAGATGACCGAAAGAGCGAAAAAAAGAAAAATTGTAAGGGAAAGAGCACCTAAAAAGGTGCTCTTTCAAAGAAGTTTTTTTCTTTCTTTTTGACTTCTCTGCCCCTTCTTTTCCCCCACAAGCCACAGAAAAGACCACAAAAAAGTGATCTGAAAGAGCAACATTGAAGACCCCTAATGATGATGATTCTCAATCGAATGATGAATCGAATTACCGTATCGAAATGATTCGACTCGAATAATTCGATTGGTCGGCTCAGTGATCGATATCCGACGCCGACGATGGACCTGGCAAGTTTTGGCTTCGCTAAACTTCAAGAAGATTGCTCCCTCGGTGTTAGCCTTTGCTACTGTATCCATTCCGACGACTAGACTGCTAATAGCCTGTGATAGAGAGAACGAGAAAGTACCATGGGATGCTGTTGTTCGAAACGAGGTGGATCAGGAGGCGCCGTCCGATCCCAGACGGAAATGAGCACTCAGAATGGCGGCAAGGTTGGCGGTAGGTCCCTGTCCATAGCGCGAACCATGACGCAGCCAAGCATCAACATTGAGAAGGGGGCCACCAAGGTACATTAGTTATCGTTGGGGATTGGTGATCTTTTTTGCTTCAATTATTACTATTGGGGACTCATGTCGATCACTCTCTTTTATTTTTTTAGATCTCAGGCAACGGCTTGGCTTTGGCGGGTGCTGCGATTGAACAGGATGCGGCGTATTGGGAGTGGCACATCCATCAAGTGCCAGAAGGGACCAAAGTTTCGTTTGGTGTGGCTCATAAGAAGGATCGCAATTTCTACAATGAACTAGACAAGAATAATGAGGGTATGCTACCGTTATGCTATGCTAATGAATATTTGTGTTGTTTCCAATTCCTCATGTCGTCTTTTCCCCTTCTGCATTTCATTCAGATTCACCTGAACACAATGGAAGATCCATGATGAAAGAAATTGAGGTCAAGAACGAGGATACAGTGGGAGTAGCTGTACAACAATCGGACTTGCCCATGGTCCAATTTTTGCTCAATGGAGAACCGTTGCATGAACTGGCCATTAATCGATTCCGCGGCATGGTGTATCCTTCCGTCTATTTACCAGAGCTGGAAGAAAAACTACAAATACAACTGGAAATGAATGAAAACGGATTCCGACAAATGAGCCCTCATGCTCGATTTGGTCCTGTCATTGTGGCAAGAGGACTCATATGAATGGGATTTGAAAAATATGCACAAATGCACTCGACAATACGCCCTTGTTTCCATTGACTGGTGGACGGAGGAATGACGTGCAGCAGTTCTTAGTTTGTAGCTCGCTTCCAGAAAAAGAAACACGAACGTTTGTGCCGGTTTCGTCAAACTTGCTTATGCGCTTCCACCACCACCCAGAACCTCATCCAGTACATCCAACACTACAACTTCTTACTCCAAACGGTCTTTTAAAAATTCAACATTTCACCTTTGACAAGCTCTTGAGATGATCGTTACAGTACGGTACCTTTGTGCTGGCATGTTCAAGATTGGACCCAAAACGAAAGTAGCAATTGTGTCAATGCTGTCGTTTCATGACTATCACGTTTTCTAAGCTGATTGTGATTCTCCAAGCCCAGCGGACGATGCAGATTCGTTGATGGTACTACCGTCGGAAAGCTTGTGCACTATTTCAAGTCACTTATGGTTCACGAGAACCAGAGGACCACTGTTCTGCGGGTCGTGTAGCACTACAGTGCCACTGAGACTACTCCTAAATGTTCCTGCACACGGCGCAGGAATCAGAAGTTTGTTCTAGACTACACTGTTTGTTCAAAATTCCAGACTATACAAAGTTCGTGTTTACCATAGGAGGATCATCAACTTTCTCATGGCAGTTCTATGACAGATTGCTTCTTCTAAAAAACTACAGTGGCTGCAAGAACTCCTTTGCTTGCTCCAAAAGGTGGTTTTCAACCAAAGAACTTCTTCATGATGACCATTCCCGCCGCCGCGGCTACAATCCCACCTACGTTGTTGGTTAGTACGTATCCAGTCGCCTTTCCAATTTGTCCTTCGGTGACCCACTTGGCCACATCAACGGAAAAGGTACTAAACGTGGTAAAGCTGCCGCAGAATCCCACACCCATCATCAATTTGGTACGAGGTGAGAGACCGGGTGTCACGGCAGGCGTTACTGCCTTGGTGGGTATTCCAGCAAGACTGCCCAAGGCAAAGGATCCAGCGACGTTGATACCAGCCGTGTGCCAGCCTTGAAAGGGAACTCGTTTGGTGGGGTCTTTGGCAATCCATTGAGCCGCCATTTCCCCCGCTTGATATCGAGAGAGGGCGCCAAAGACGGCGCCTACGGCTACGGCACCGGCATCGGAGGAAAGCAACGCGAGAGGTGCTGGACCCGTCATGGTGGTAATAGGAGCAGCAAACAGGTATGGATGAGGAATGGTATCGCGCAGGAGGAGAAAAAAAGGAGGGGGGGAGGATTTCATGCCTCCGGCAGAGACTAACTCCAGTCATAGTGAAGCACCAGTAGCAGAGCAAATGAGGGTCCACAACCTTGAAGCCAGCATGACCGGCAGGTAACTGTAGGTGGTGCCTGCTCACCCAGCATTGGCATTGGATGAGCTGGCACCAACAAGATAACAAGCACCAAGTGCTTATTCTCTTGTCTTTGTACACCAACAACAGTTGATGTACAAAGCCTTCGTTTTCCTGCCTTGCCTCATCGCTATCAGACATCTCGTCCCGTTCCGCCTTTGCTTCTTCATCTTTGTCGCGCCCCTTTCTTCGTCTCTCTTCCCATGACCGACAACGATCCCCTTCTTTCTCCGACGGCCGCCATCGCCCAGCCCCTTCTTCTTCAGGGTTCTCCTCGGCCCGGCTCGTCCACAACCAAGATCTTCCTACCTCCATCCTTCCCCGCTCCAACTCCTGGAAGGATCCTGCTATCATGCAATCCGACTCCACCTCGCTATCGCCGCTTCCCGCTCCGCTCCACCCTCCAGGATCCCCAACTCTCACGGGCCTTGGGTCCCAGTCGACATGCAGAATGAGGGGGGCTGAAAGAGGCCTCTCGGCAAGGCGGAACTTGGCGCATGAGGAGAAAACAGCAATGTTACGGCGGGGCAGAGGATTGTAGGCTTCGGTGCGAGACACGGCCGGGTGTGGGGTCCGCTGCGAATGGATTTTGCAAGGAGATCGGAGAAGGAGTCCGAGAGGTTGGAAGGAGCGGTGGTATTTGGCAGAGAGG